TCTTCATCAGCGCATGAGTTGGCAACGGCACTGTCAACTGGATCATTGTTGCCACTCGTTGGAGACACGCCGGACCGGAGTGCCGCCCTCACTTGCCCCGCTGCTTACAGAAGAGCCAAACGTGGAGCACCCGGATTACCTCCAGTCACAAATCCGACGGACTGTCACAGTTGGCTCCGATGTGGTATGTGGAACGCAGACCATTGAGTGCGACGCCTCACTGAAGGCGAAAAAATGGCATGAGCATCAGATCTTTCGTGAGAATTTACTGGAGACGGCCCCGGTACAGGAGCTGGTTATCCGCAACTACAACGCTACTTTTGATTTCTGCAGTGAGGATGGTCAGGTGCACTTTAAAAATCTGGACGAGTTTGTAGAGGCCATTTACAAGCGCATCCTTCTCATCATGATTGCGCACTTTCCACCCTGTCACGACAGCCATCCAGCGCACTACCAGGGCTACAACGTGGAAAAGTTTGCGGCGAAGAAGTTAGGGTTGTATCAAAAGCCTTTGCATGATTTGCTGCGGGCATGTGTGGAACATTCTTTTGTGAAAAAGAGCATCACCGACCGTCTGAACTTGTATATTATCACGCCACCCAGCAGAAATGTCTTCGTTCTGCACGGATCGGAGCCCGTGCCGGTGACCGCACTGATTGGATCATTCACGTCACGTCTCTTGGCAAAAGAAGAGCAAAAGTTCCGTATTGCGTTTCACACGACACACGCAACGTCTCTCACTGAGGAACCAAACGAATTGCATGAAATTATATGCCACGTCATTCTTCAATTATTTCCAGAGCAGGGAATTTACAGACGGGCGATTGCAGAGGTCGACATTGTGCGCCTTCAACAAATGTTTTTGGATTTACTGACGGACAAAATCAAATCCACTGAGACGTTTAAGAGGGGAGGCGGAGGTGGAGGAGAAAACCAGATTACTGTGGTGATTCTGGATGGAATGGATTCTGTCCTTCCCACTGTGTGTCCCTGTAACGCACTGCGACTCTCTGAGGATACGGGGAAGGACATATGGGGAACACCAGCGCCACCGGCCCAGCAATCAGCAAGGTATGGATATATTCCAGTTTGCCTTTCGCGTAATTTACGTCTTGTCTTGGGCTGTGCAACAAATTCAGATATGCATCATCAGCTAGGATCACGTGGGCCGGACAGCGCCGAGCTTCTCTCACTGGGCCCCATAACACCGAATGATTTTGATGAAATGCTCCATCCAGACATGCTGTCAAAGATTGGTGCAACACTGTCTGACGATGATTTTATAGTCATTCGCAAGAAGGAAGAAGCCCTTTGCCCAGAATACATTATGTTAGTTTTGGACACACTTCGTAGCTTGAATGAGGTGCCTGGAATCGAGACGCATTCCGTTGTGACGTCTCTGCCGGGCACTGTGAAGGGGATGGTTCAACTGAAATACAACAACTTGCAACAGACATTTGGAACCGCACTCGTTCGAAAGTGCACACGACTACTTTTGTCTTCTAGATGGGGTATTTATGAGCCGCAGTTGCGCCTGATGTTGCAGCTCCCTCAACGGCGATTTAATCAACTGGTCCGTATGATGCGTCCCCTGTTGGGGTATGGAACATTGTTCTCTCTTGGTATTAAGGAAGGAAACGCCTTGCTTTCCCGTATTTGTATTCGCTCTCGTGAGTTTCGTGCATTACTCGAGCAGGAGGACCTTCAGGAGGAGGGAAATGAAGAGGACCAGAAGTTGTGGCATGAAATGCTGGCGCGCTTTTATCTCAATGTGGTGCATGATGTGATTGGACGAGAGAAGACGCCACCAATTTTTGGTCTAAGCTCGACGAACCCATATGAACGCATTTCGGTGAAGGAGCTGCCGTACCATGCGGTGAAGGCACATGCATGGCATATTTTGTTTCGTTTTATCTTGTCTATGTCATTTTTGATGATTGTTTACCGCAACAGACTCGGTTATCACCTTGTGCGGGAGCTCATTGTTGCTTTCAATACACTTTATGAGATGTATGAGTTGGGCGAATTTCCAGAGGAGAATGGTGCTACGCATGGTGAAAAACCCTCCGCATTGTTGCGTTTGCGGGAATACATTTACTTTTTGCGGGAGTACAACGCGCGGCTTACGGAGTTTCCGCATCTTGTCATACAAACGGCGGTTGAGAGCGCAGCAAGGTATAACTTTGTTGGGAGTGATGCAAAGGAATATGTCACACGCAAGATGAGCCATCATGCCCCCATTGTTCAGCGTCGCACTGTGTTTTTCGAGATTATAGCGGGCGCTAAAACGGTGATTCACCACGGCGCAATCACAACCTGTTTATTTTCACCCAAGGGAAATCGCATCACCACTGGCAGTGTGGACCGGAGTGTCTGCAGGGTAAGCCCAGTGACGGGTGCCGTCGCGGCCCAGTTACGACAGGCACCAACAAGGGTGGAGGAAATTCTCTACTGTGAAACTGGCGCCTACCATGCCGTTATTTGTCACGACCGCACCCTTCTCATTTATGACAGCGCACAGATGAAGCTTTTGTCAAGGTGTGACGGAGGAATATTTGGGGCACCACTGTCATCTGTTGCCTTTTCTGCACGCGGGCGCTTTTATTTGGTGGCGACGGAGGACCTCCACCTTCGGGTGTTTGAAACGGAGAAAGGTCGACTGCTGTTGCATGTGGACCAGCGCCAATTTCTTCATGGGTATTGCGACGGTGTTGATATAAATCTTCTTCGCGGATATTCTTGCGTGATACCGCACAGAATTGAGGACGATGTATTTCATTCCACATGCCATAATGTTCTGATAAAGTGGCAGTTCTCACCGACACGAGACGAGTTTGCTTCCGAGACGCGTTTGGGTGTCTCCTTTACGGTTAGTTCGGGAAAGGCGGTCCTGATCGGCACGCACCTGCTGCTTCACCCCATCCCTTTTCCGGCACCAACGAGCGGGCGGCGGGCGCCCCCACGTTTTGTGCATCTCCACAGTCTATTGACAGGGCGGGAGATGGCGGTACTGACGAGCCCTTGTAGTCAACTGTTTTATCAATTGTCTGCGAATGAGAGGCTACTCGCAAGTGCACTGGACGATGGATCTGTGGCCATCCATCAACTTTGCTGGACAAGCCTCCAAAAGGAAGACGGGGATATGATCGCGATCCCACCGGTCATGGAGCTTGCAGCCTACCGTGAGTCGCCCGTGGCAACTGTGAGGGCACTGCGGTTTCGTGGAGATTGCAAAGCTCTCTTTGCCTTGGGCAACAGCTTTGAAATGAAGTTCTGGGCGTTACCGCAGCGTTTGCTGGACGGTGGTGGGGACAATGTCTCCGATGCCGATGTTTCTTATCCTGTGGAGGTCGACGATGCCAGTAGAGAAGAAGAAAAGGAACTTGTGGAGGGCGTGGCTGACGGTGAGTTCATTCTAGAGCCCGCAGATGTCGCGTCGTGGGATGTTGTACAGGTGCCGAATACTAAAGATGCAGAGGTGATCTTTGGTGACTCTTCCGGGCGCCTGACGATGTTACGAATGTGGAGCCCGCTGATGTAAATGAGAGAAAAAAGGCGGAAGGGAAATAAAGAAAGAAGGAAAAAAACACACACACACACATTTGGGTGGCTTGGATGGAGCTGCTGGACAAAAAGCAATGTATAGAGAAAGAACATGGGTATATATATATTTGTACGAGGCTATCTCCGGCATTTGCCGCTATTTTATGGGAGGCGGTGGTGTCTGTAGAAGAAAAAATCGACTGCCTTCCTTCCGTCTCTCCACACCACCCATTAAGACATACATATATATGTATACATATTTTTTCTTGCATAATTGTGGATTTCATCGCGGTATTTACTTTGAGTTTTCTTTTTTTTCTTTTTCTTTGTAGGAATAGGGGACCGGGCTTCATTCAGGCGCATATATTGCAGCTTGATTTATTTATTTATTTTTTTTATTGTAGTTAATTTTGTTGGTTTCTGTGCGGTTACTTGACGAGGGTGGAGGTTCGGCACGGGGGTGGATGAGCGCTCCCGCGATTCGCCACGGCGGCCCATCAGGGCGTCTCCCGACACGACAGGGGCACCACTTTATGCTTACGGCGGAGCCTCCAGGGCGGCCATTTGCCACTTCTGCAACTACCCCAAATGTCCCTAAAACGACCCTGCCGTCGTACCCCGGCATGCACCGCTTGTACTCGCGACCCTTTCGAGGCGAGCCGCAATTTTTAGGTGTCTCCTCCTCTTCCCACATCTTGCCGTCCACGTTGCATGGCCAGGAGGATCGGCGGTGGAACTCGATGCGGTCACATTCTCACCGTCCACCGTTGCTGAGCTTGCGAGGAAGACCGCCGCAGCTGCAACCGCTTTTGGCCCCAAGCGCGCCGGCAATCGGTTTCGCTCGTCAGGCCTCGTCCACTAGCGAAATGCAGATGCCAAGAACGTCAGAGCACCAGTCTCCAATCCCGTTGCGCAACTTTGGCAACACGTGCTACATGAATGCAACCATACAATGTATCCTGCATTCTCCGTGGCTTTTCTCAAGTTTAGCAGAGGCAAATGCATGGTCAAAGCGGCGTCTGGCGACTTCGGCTCTGTTGGAGTTGGGCGCGGCAAGGGTTGATGCCCCCGGGCAGCTGCTTCTCACCGTCAAGGGCGAGGCGGCAAAATTCAACGCGGAGTTTCAGGACAATGGCCAGTCGGATGCTCATGAATTTCTTCGGACATTTCTCTTTGTAGTGCACAGTGAAATAAACACCAGTGGTGGGCATAATACACCGTATGAGGAGCTCAAGGAGGTCGAAAATGAAAGCGAAGAAGAGGCCATGCGACGCTGGCAAGAGCACTATCTTCGTGTTGACAATTCCATCATATATGATTTGTTTGGTGGTGTGATGCGCTCAAGATGCGTCTGCTCCTCCTGTGGCAAGGTATCCCTGACATTTGACCCATTCCTCGACCTCTCACTTCCGATGATTCCCGGTGCGAGGAAGGCCGCAACAATTGAGTCCATGCTGAAGATTAGCTTTGATGAGGCGGAAGAGAAATTGCGTGGGGGCAATCAGTTGCTTTGCGCGCGTTGTAGACGACTGCGAAACGGGACACGCAGCGTAAAAATCATACGGTGGCCCAAAATTTTAGTGTTGCATTTAAAGAGATTTGACGACACAGGGAAAAAGAACTCAGAACCCGTCGTGTTTCCGGAGTCTTTCATGACGCACGACAACAGTCCAATGCAATACCAATTGTACGGTGTTGTCTGTCACAGCGGATCGGAAAACTGGGGGCACTACACTAGTTACGTGCGCACGTTGTCAGGACGCTGGTATCACTGCAACGACGCAGTAATTAGTTTGTCAACTGTCACTGAGGCTATGCAGGCATTGACAACAGCGTATATTTTATTTTATTCTGTAAAGTAGGCGTGTTTTCCACTAACGCACTCTAGTGATATGCATATCTATATATTTCTATACATGTATGCAAATGTATTTATTTACACATTCACATTTGGCTCTTGTTGACGAGAAGACATCAAAATCAACAAAGGGAGAAAAGATGCAGCCGTAAATGTTTACAGGTGGTGGGGTGAATGCGGCTTGTGTATTATTGCTGGAAAGAAAGACAGCGCCAACCAGAACAAAGTGAAATTGGGGGGTCATAACGACATTAGTTTGGACGTCACTTCAATCAACTTTTTTTGATTTTTTTTTTTTTCTTCTTCTTATATATATATATATATATATATGTGTATGTGTGTTCTGGCCCTCCCTGTCCCGGGGGTCTCACTGATTTTTATTTGAGCAAATGAAAACTGTAAAGTGTGCGGTGCGGGCACTGAAGGCGTGTTGTATTTATCCGTCTCACCGTTGCATTTCTCTTTTTTTGCTTTCTTCTTTGTATTGTTTTATCTTTTGAGCGCCTCAATTTGAGGTGGCTCCTTCACTGGGCGGCGATGACGGCGGGGGCAGCATAGACACTGCTGGCGGGGCAGGGCAGGCGTGTCGATGAGTCCCACGCCAAAACGCGAAGGTGCGAGAGGAGCGAGGAGAGGAATAGGGAGGGAGGGGAAATGCAGCGCAGGCCTGAGGAGGGAGGGAAACCTTTTTTTTTTCTTTAATTTTTTTGCTCATCCTCCTTCCCCCACTCCATCCCACCCCACACGCCTCCACCTCATCGATGTTCATTTGCCTCCATTGCGTTATTTTCATCACCCGTTTTTGTAAATATTAATTCGTTTGTGTTTTTGTTTACTTTTTTTTTTTTTTTTTTTCTGTTGTTGTTTTGGTTATTTATATATATATATGTATATGTATATGTCTGTCTATGCATACGCATGTGCTGCTGTATAATTTTTTTCTTTTTCTTCCACCCTATATATATATGTATGTGTAGGGTGCGTGTGCTTTTATGTGATATATTTTTTTTCTTTTTTTCCCATTTTTTGCTGTTGGTATGCCGTGTTCTTTCCGTGACTGCATGTGTGCATGCAGTTGTTGGTTGGTTTTATCGTCCTTTACTGTGTCAATGATGGCGGGAGTGATGACGATTCCTACAGAATTTATTGGTGTATGCGTTATAGAAGCGAAGAGAAGGAGAAACAAAGAGGGCGTGTGTGTGTGTTTGACGGGGGATTTTCTGCGAAACATTGACGCAATTGACGTTTTAACTTTCTTGCGAGTTTTTTTTTTTTTTCTTTCTTTCGTGCCACAGAAGAACTTCTTTTGGTAAAAAAAGAAAGGAAGAGAAACAAACAAACAAAAAAAACCCAAAAAAACAAAACAAAAAAATTCGAACTTTGTTTTTATTATTATTATTTTTTGTTGCAAGAGAGAGAAGCGTAAAGCGGCACAAAGTGAGAGTAAAATTTGTGCCTGTGTTTTGTGTTATGGAGGCACCGTGTTGTGTGAAGCATGCACGCGGGGATGTGCGTCTTTCTGTGCGTGTATGTGTTTGTGTGCGTAAGATGTGTGGGCAATACATGTGTGTGTCTCGGTTGCTCGGTGTCTTTCATGTGTTTGCATTTCTGCTGGCAACTTCTTCTTCCTCTTGGAAATAAAAGGCAAAGCGACCACATTACGCATTCCCTTCTGCCCATATAAGTTCCCTTCACACATACACACACGTATATATATATAAATATAAATACTGAAATACCGACAGACAGACATATAGTTTTGCATTAGGCTTAAGTTATAGGAGATTCGGAGCTACGGTTGCTGGCATTTGGGTTGTGTGGGCAATTTTACTTGCTTGCGGATTTGAATTGCGCTCACGGTCATTATCGCGTAGTGTTCTCTGCTTTTGATTATAAGGGGGCAGGTGAGAGTGAAGGGGAAGAGGCGTCCTGCAGACCATCAGGAAGGAAAAGAAAAAAGAAAAAAGAAAAGGGTATTAGGAAAACAAATAATCAGTTAGGGAGAGAAAGAGAAAGAGAAAGAGAGAGAGAGAGAGAGAGAGAGAAAGAAAAAAGACAAAAACGAAGAAATCGGAAGGAAACAATGGGGGAAACTGTGTTTGAATTCAAAGTGTTGGACCCGGAGCAGCGCAGGGGAACTGGCGCTCTTGACCTCGCCTACTGGACATATCGGATCCGTGCCTCCACGACTCTCTCAACATACGCACAGAAGGATCTGGAGGTTGTGCGGCGCTACAGTGACTTTGAGTGGTTTCGCGCCCAGTTGTGCGAGGCATACCCGTATTGCATCGTCCCGCCCATCCCAGAGAAGGATGTGCAGGGAACACTTGACAAAATTGTGGGGTCCGGCTCGCAGAGCGCCAGCCGTCTGAGGGACTACCGACAACGCGCCCTGAGGAAATTTCTTGTGCGGCTTGGCGCCCACCCACGGCTGCATACTTCGCATCTGTTGAAGGACTTTTTGGAGATGAATGAGGACGAATGGGAGCGAAAAATGAAGGCATCCGCGAAGAATTCTGAGGGTTTTTTTACCTCCTCACTTGGCGAAGGCGTCAATCACGCCTTCACGAGGCAGTGGAATACTTCTGGCGCCGTGGCAGAAGCGGGTGCTGCTTATACGCGTGTGGTAACAAACACCAATACAACCCCCCAGGTGTGGGAGGAGACACGTCTGTATATTCAACAACTGGAGGATAGCATAAAGATGCTGCGGGAGCGATTGCAGTTGCTTGTTGACCGCCGTCGAAACACCAGTAACGCCTTGCATGAGTTTGGTGTAGCCTTTGAAAAGGTTGGAGAGATAGAGAGGGGGATTGAATCTACGCCGCTCAGCAACGCACTGATCGCCGTGGGGCAGCACAGTGAACAACTCTTCTTTATATATAGTGATTATGCCAATGAGGAAATGAAACAAGTGGTTGAAACACTCAATTACTACTGTGGTATGTGCGCTGCCGTGCGTGAGACACTTCGAAGGGTTCATAACAGGTCACATTATGTGGAGTCGCTCCGACAACATGCAGCTGAGGTTGTTGCCCAAAAGGAAAGGGCGTTGGAGAAGGGCGGACAGGCCGGGCGGGTTGCACGACTGGAAAGTGAGCTGGCCGGGTTGGAAGATCGTTTGAGCACCGCAAAGAGAGAACTGGAGGCAGGCGAGACCATCTTGAAGGACGAACTACGCCGCTTCCACCAGGAGAAGCAGTACGACGTGAAGGCCATCCTAAAGAACTTTGCAGAGCTCCAACTAAAGTACGCGGCACGAATGAAAGAGACATGGGAAAGTTTGCGTCCCACCGTGGAAGCGGTTCAATTTGAGGGTGAGGGAGGCGGCCAAGGGAATGCCTTACGGTAAAACACCAATTCGTTCCATCCTTCTACCGCCAAAAAAGAGTTGTATCCGGCACCCCCTCCCTACAGTGTGCATACAGACTTTTTTTTGTTCTTGTTGGGTGGCCCACATCTCCTTTTCTCGCTTTGCTTGTTGTTCCTGAGGTCACTGCCATCACAATTCCTTTTTTCCGTAAAGAGAAGAAGATACATATTTTTTATTTATTTATGCCCCTTGTTTCTTACTTTTTCTAAAGGCTTTGTGTTGCTGTTGTTGCAGCTGCTTTGTCTTGAGAGAACCCTGGGATTATCACTGCTCGTAGTGTTTTGGGTCTCTGTGTGAAGGAGGAGAACGACCTTGAAGAGAGAAAGAGAGAGGAAGCGAGTTTTTTTTTATTATTATCTTGTTTTACTGGTCTTGACGTTTTTATTTGGGCAATGCCTTCTTATATTCCGTGTGTTCGAGGATGTCCCTGCGTGTTTTCCTTCTGTAATTTTATGATTTGCGCACTTGCTTTGGTCATTCGTGGGTCTTTTCACAAGTACGTCAAGGAATAGGACTTTCTGCATCTTGGCTGCTGACCGCAACATGCGGCGGGGGTCATTGCATCCGGGCGATCTAGTGGATGCGGTTGAACACTATCGTCTTCACAGAAATAGTATGCTGCAGGGGTGCATGCGCATCTGCACCCTTTCCAAGAGGTTATGACGAGGGGAATGAGGTGGGATATGGGAAATACTGCGTCACCGCTCGTTTTGTACCGAACCCAGCGACTCTTTACTGTAAATTTTATTCAAGGGCGTTTGGTGGCTGCCTCGAATGCCTGTGGTCATTATGTGGGGATTCCAACGGCTCACATTCCCACTGGAGTGGTGCAATGGGTCTGCATCCACACAACCATGTGTGTATGCCCGTACAGCAGTGGGGATGCTGCAACATTGACGTGGCGGTGATGAGGATAACTGCCTATATTCAGCATTTTTTTTTTTTGTAGTATATCCAATAAATTAGTGGGATTGCGCCGTTGATGCGCCACTTTTCTGGCTCTAGGGAGCCACGGCAATCGCCATTTTTGTGATCCTTCATTGGCTATCCAGGATGATGATAATATCATTTGGTTTTCCGTCACGGACCACAGGGTTGCTGTACTTCAACCAGCAACAGGATTTGCCTTGGATGCCAAGGACCCACCCGCTGCGGACGGTGCCTGGAGAAATGTAAATGCTCTGTGGTTTTAGTCTTCATTCCTGAGTGAAACCGTGATGTGCTCTCTGCCTTTTTTTTTTTCTCTGCACTCTCCTCGTTGACTAGGAATCTGTATGAGGGCGCGCTTTCAGTGAAACCTGTTCCTTTCTGAAATCTAATTTGAGTATGGCCCACGCAGTGCTGCCCCAGAGTTTTTTTCTTTGACTTTTTTCTTCAACTTGCTGTTCTCACCTTCATGATGCTTGCATCCCCTTCGGTTGTTTTTATTTTTTTTTCTTCTCTTTCTCCGTCGGGGAGAGTGAACAGGGACCGATCGGATGAAGAGCTCAAACCGCATGCGTTTCTAACGTCCCGGAGCAAATTTCTTGAGGGCGTGGAGCGGCCCGGCTTTTCGGCGTGAGTGGGGTAGGGGGTCATCGTTTGTGATGATGATACGATTTTTCTTTTTTTTTTTTTTCTGAGCTGTTGCCACACTGTACTATCGAGCATTCCCTTTTACCGATTCTTTTCCCTCTTCTTCACTCCGTGAGTATGTGTCTCTTGTAATTCGCCGCAGGGAAAACGGTAGAATCACAAAGAGAGCAATGAGAGTGTATGGACTCTTATTGCTGATGTGTACACTTCTCGGCACAACCACCGCAACGGGCAGGCTCGGCACGAAATCCTCTGAGTTTACCTCCGTGGCACCCGAGTCTCGTGGGATAGAAAGTTTTCGTGTTGTGATTTACCTGAACGCCACGGCGTGCTCCGCGTCAGAGGAAATACCACAGACTTTTTTTGTAGCATTTGAGGAGGACTTACTTGGGGGCATTCTCCCTGAAATTTCTTCTATGTGTGGTGCTTCCTCTGCGAGTCCATCGTTGTCCTGTTTGGCGGTGTGTTCTATTCATTCTCCCTCTCAGGAACTAGCGTTCACTGAACATTTTGGAGGGGCAGGGGCGAGCTTCTTCCAACATCCCACAATTGTCTGCGAGTGGAAAGCCGACGGGTCGGTGCAAATGCCGATGGGTTTTTACCCAACTTGCCGTAAGCGCGTTCAGGATTTGTACGCCATGGAGAACGCGTTGGAGGTAATTAAAGCAAAAAAATCACACAAGAAGAGAAACAGGTACACTTTTGGACGTTCTTCCGAGGTATATTACAAAATGACAGGGGATGCGCGTCATTTGGTGGCAGTCGGTGGGGACTGTTACCTCACTGATTTCTCCGCTGAGTCAGCGAGGAAAATGTGCGGTCGGGTGACGTGCCTGGAAGCTTCCATGATTGTTCTGACGGCTGTTATAGCGCTCATGGTGGTTGTTGCTGTGATGTACCTCTGCCGCCGGCAACTCTTTGTTCATTTCTTTAATTTCGGTCTCCGCGACGGTGAGTCGAGCACGTCTTCGCAGCTTATTGTACACTTACCGGATAAAAATGAGAGTCATAGTAGCACGGCATACGAAGCGTGGAAAAAGTCAACAGAGCCACACACGCCTCCCGCTTCACGCCTGCCCGTTTCGTTTGGGGATTCTAACGCATCCCCATCCAGATCCCCAGGCTCAAATGAAGTGGACTTTACTAAAATGGACAAGGTCTTGGCCAATGCGTCGCCAAGAACTGAGCAGAGCGGTGGCTTCTCAGATCGGAGGCAATGTTTAACGATATCCCGTACTTCTTCGCAAAGCCATTTTTTAACACCTTGGCGATATCGACAACCGCGTGTAGGTAGTAATGATGTTGCCGTGAGTGAGGGCAAAAAAATAGATGGTTTGGCTGCGTCACACCAAGAGAAGGCTTTGCCCGAAGCTTGCGAGGTTGACATATCGAAGGAAGAGCGTGAACAATTGCAGCGTCAGCGATCATGGCTCAGAGAGCACGTGATAGGCCTCGACGCAATTTAACCATCAACATCAATGGGCGCGCCATTTACCTATTTTTTTTTTTTTTTTTGAAGTTGTAAACCGGATCTTCGGTGAGCCATATATATATATATATATATATATATATATATATATGCATGCGCTTATGTACTTGATTATGGAAGTTGAAAGTATTGTAGTGATTCATCTTGAATACCCTGAATTGTTTTTTTTTTTTTTTTAATTTGTCTTCTGTTGTGCGCTTGGAGAGGGGAAGGGCGATGGATGTTTACTCATAAAATTTTTTTTTTTTTCTTTTTTCGCTGACACGACAGTAAATTGAAGGTGGAGTGACAGGAATCTTCCCAAATACAAATACGTAGAGGTGTAATATTTCAAAGACGGAGGGAGTTGATGAAGTCTTCTCTGGCCTTTTCTGTCCGGCATGCGGTTGTCCCAGTGATGGGATGTAATTTGCTTTTTCCCGTCCGCCGCGTGTATTGTGTTGGGCAGAACTACACGGAACACGCGAAGGAAATGGGTGGGCAGGTTTCCAAGTCCAATCCATTTTTCTTCACAAAGCCCCCTGATGCGGTTGTCAGTGGTGAGACGAACCATACGGCGGCAATGGATGTCAACATCCGTTATCCTCCTCAGACCAACAACTACCAGTACGAGGTGGAGCTGGTTGTTGCCATTGGCGAAAGTCACGGTGGCAGGGAGAAGTACAGGGCCATTTCTCCTCTAGAAGCACACACAGTCATCTACGGCTACGCTGTGGGTCTTGACATGACACGACGGGATTTGCAGTTGGCAGCAAAAAAGAATGGGAAGCCGTGGGATTTGGCGAAGGGTGCTGACGAAAGCGCTCCACTCTCGGCCATCGTACCCGTGAAGCTCATTCGAGAAAAGGCATCCGCTTTGTTTTACGCGACGGATGCGAATTACAGAGAAGCGATGTATGCAAAAGCTCAGGGAGGGCCCACTGTTCTTCGTCGGGGAGACATTGAGCTGCGTGTGAACGGGGAACGTCGGCAGAAGGGCAACTTGTCATCATTTGTCACCCCCATCGACGAGCTGCTCTCTATTTTGTCGCATTCCATTGAGCTGGCGCCCGGCGACCTCATTTTCACTGGAACTCCGGCGGGTGTTTCTGCCGTGAAACCCGGCGATGAGGTACGGGCAACGATTGAAGGGGTCGGTGAAATTACTGCGCGGCTGCACTGATTCAAATGTAGTTTTAGTTTTAGTTTCAAATTTTTTTTTTTTTTTTGCCGTTGTCGCTGCTGCGTGTGTGTGCGTGCGCAAAGGCTCTCGTTGCAATGTCTGGGGAAACAGCCCAACCCACCGACTCTCTTATGTGTTCATGCATGCTTCGTGTCTCATCTTCTTTTTCCCCACCTTTTTTTTTTTTTGTCTTTTCCCGTCTTTTCTTCGTCGATGGAAAGAGAAGTGATAGTCCGAGGGGAGCGAGACGGGAGGGTGGTGGTGGTGTTGACAGGTGGCCGTCACACACACACCAGAGAAAGCAACACACAGACACATCACAAAAGGGAACGAAGCCAATAAAAAGGAATTTTTTTTTCTTTTATACACGAATAAAAAAGAAAGGGGAAATAAAAAAAAAAAAGGTTTTGTTTACTGCAGCTGTGTGCTAGTGCCGTTGCTATTTAGTTTTGGGTGCGACCGCCGCCCACATTTTCACGTGTTGCACTTTGTTTTTTGGTTGTTGGTTTCTTCTTGTTGGTTGTTTTTAGGTGATTTGCTAGTCTTTTTTTTCTTCTTTGTGTGTGCGTTCGCCGTGATTTTTTTTTTTTTTTTGAAAGTCTTCCGTTTTTTATTTTATTTTTATTTTTCTTCTGGCCGCGACATTTCGTTTATTCGTCGTTTTTTTTTTTTTTTTTTTGCAGCCGCTTCCACGATCTCCGTATTTCTGCCTGGCTGTGGGACCCGTCACGCACGCAGCTGCGGTGCCAACAAGAAAGAAGCAAGGAATAAAAAAAAAACAACAACGACAACATCAAATATGAGTGTACGGTCCGAGGTACAGACGGAGAACTCCAAGCAGCAACTGAAGGCTGTGCAGAGCCAGAGAAATGATCCCGATAAAGTACTAGAGCCGCTGGAAAAATTATGCATTTCACTTGTGATGGGGGTTGAGCCATATCTTCGAAGTTTTGATGCCGCGACGGCGATACCAATTTTGCTTTGCATGACAGAAAAGGAGTTTTTTAGCTTTTGCGGGGACACCATGACGATGCTCCTCCGTGCACTTGCACTCATTATGGAGTATGTTCCAAGTGCCTATGAGAGCGTGCATCTGTACCACAAGCGGTTGATGAAGTCCGTCTGCCAAGTCCTTTCCCGGACTCTTTTGGCAAAAATGAAGTACAACAACACAGATAATGTGATGCTTTTGGAGGAGTCTCTTCGGCTTATTCAATTTATCACCAAGGATGAGGGCAACATTTCCGTTCTGCGCTTTGGTGTGACGGACGTTATACGGATAGCCGCCTCTGAGAACACATTACTGGCGCGTCAGGCCTTTGATGTGCTCGTCACCATCTGTTCCAAAATTATCTTGCCGTCGGATGTGGAAAAGTTAAATATCATTGGGCTGTCATCATTTCTCATTTGTGGGCGGAAGAAGAAAAGTAAGAAGGGTTGTCTGGAGTCGCTGGATTCTCACGGAAAGATAAGGGTGTATGCTGTGGAAAATGTCATTGTCCCTTTTTTGCACTCGACGCTTCAACAGTATTCGGCGAGCCTGGAGACTTTTCCAGAGGCGTGGACGTTTTTGGAGCTGACGATACATTGCCTGGGGATGTTGATGCGTCGTTCCATGTTGTCCCATCGCCCCTCTACGACCCGAAAGATAGTCACACGTGACATGTGCCGAACACTCTTCCGATTACTTCTTTTTAATGATACAAATGTAGCAATTGACCAAAGTGTTCGCTCTGAACGAATTCTGTTGTGCGAGACGGTACTGGATGCCGCCATGGCGGCCGATTCCCTCGTGGCAAGTGAGTTCCTTCTTGCCGAGGAGGCTGTGTCTTTCTATAAACTCCTGCTAGGAGAACAGGAGAGCGGCATTATCACGCAGTTGGATGACCCTTTTCCGGTAAGTGGGGCTTCGTCCCGAAGTACACAGCGACGGGACAAAAACAACATTGTCTCCATTGCGGCTATCCGTCTCTTTGTTCTTGCCTGCCCGCGGGTCTTGAGCGAGGCATTTGGCCCCAAGCCGAAAGTTTTGCTTCCTGTTCACCAGTGGTATTGGGAGGATGAATTGCGGAACAGCAACTCCATCTCTGAGGAGGGGTGTGTGGCGCTGGAAACAAGCTTTTGTCGACTGTGTAAGGAAACACCGTTTAGGATGCATATGAAGTCATTGAGGGCAAATTTTCAATCGATGAAGTTGTCAGGTGGATTTGGAAGTGGAGAGCGTAATATTTCGCGCAAAATAGTTCCATTTGTTTTTCACTTTGTGGATGAGGCCGATCTTCGTTTGGCTAAATCAGCAAAAGAAGCCATGATGTTGTGCAACCCTACGCCGAAGTGTAGAAGAGAGTTGGGGGTAATCAATGCGTCAGAAGCCGCGGCAATTTCAAAGGGCTTGGGTGAACTTTTCATTATAAACAGAGATTCAGTGGTGCCGCCACTGTACATGAGCATTGCGGAAATGTTTCTTGAGAGTCTATGCAGCTTTGTTGTTTCCGTCTCTGGTCAGATGGCGATGCAGTTGGGAACTTCTGCGTGTGCGTCTTTACTTCAAGCTGCCATTTGCACAGAAGAGAACCAAAGGTTGGCGGGTTTGTTGTCTAAAATCATCCGTCCACTGTGCGAGATGTTGCGTGAGGCGTTGGTTTCGGGTGACAAGGCCACAAAGTCGGTTTCCCTCACAATGATGGTGTGGCTTTTGTGTCATCCACAGGCATCGGCATGGAATTTCAGCGAGACGGCCCTGAGGTGTGGTGTGGTGAACCAATTGGAGATTCTCTTATCTGGCGGTGCGGTGGTATCTTCCAAGAAGACGAAACCCCACAAAGGCCTGACCAAAGTGGGGCCGGAAGTAAAACAAACACGCACCGCATATCTGGCGGCGTCCGCGTTGGCGGTTCTCCGGGCGATCAACAAGCAGTTGTCCAAGACACAGTCGCCACGGTCGGAGCGCAGCCTGAGCACTATGGATGTGATGGTGGTGCGCAAAGCGGTGAATGAACTCAAAATCTGTGCAGCTACTCCTGGTTTGCACCAAGGCGTGGTGGCACGCATATTGGAATTGATGGAAAAGTCAGCGAACACCGTGACGGCGTATGAATTCTCCACTTTGGGCATCGCCGACGCCGTACTGAAATACCTGTTGGTGGAACATTACAAGGATTACTGCCGTGATGCTGTCACCATGGTAGGGACTGCAACGCCGTCCGTGGCAACCGGTAGCACCGAGGTGAAGGAGGAATCATTTGTTGGAGGCTTTGGGCAGGAGCTTACGGAAGGAGACCTGTTGGCCTTTGCTGGCACGCGTACCGCCAATGGACTTCATCAGCGATGTCAAAAGGAGCGTCTGCAGTGTTTTTTGGAATCTGCGATGCAGAGGCCACGTGGAGTAAAAGCGTTAATTGAGAACTTGGTTTCTGCCCTCCCACTTCACTCCACTTTCCCGCTTGTTGAATCGCTCTTGGGTCCCTCCCGGGCGACGTGTCGACCGCCTACCAAAGCTGTATTGGTGGGCTCACACATATCACCTATTGTCAGCCTCTGCTCTAAACCGGATGCCGAATCAGATGCCGCGAAGCGATGGGAATTTGAGAGAAAAAACTCCAAAACGTTGATTAAGCAAAGCAAGTCATGTCCCGTTTCAATGCCTATGCAACCCGATGCAGGTCTTTTTTCGGGGGGCGGGGTGGAAGTAGTACATTCCAGAGACAACTGCCCACGTGGGCACCGTTTGCTTGCTATATCGGAAGGACAAAGTTTGGGTTTGTGCGATATGTGCGAGGAAGAAATACACACGGGCTTTTGTTGTCATCGTTGTGAGTTCTACATATGTAAGGACTGTTACACGGATCCCAAAGTACAGTATTCGAATGCCACCTCCGGTGCGAGTCCCAGTTCAGGCGCCGCAGCTGGCGGCATCTTGGGGTTTGTGGCGCAGTCACAGCAGCAACAGCAGCAACAGACAAGCCAGGAACGACAGCGCCAACAATATTCGAGACCGATTATTCGTGCTCATTTATTCTCCAGCATTGGTGACATAGAGCGATATTTCCGCACGGGTTCGTACTCTACGAGGAACACGGATGTGGCACCCGCCCCGCAGTCCGTGTTGCAGAATATTGATTATTTTGTGGAACGTGCCAAGTCGTTTCTTGCTCGCAAGCGGTTGAACTGCAGTGATGAGATACTTCGTAAGGAGGTCCACCGCATTCTGAGCTCCTTCTTGTTAAATGGTCCCACTATTGATCCGGAAGCAACAGCAGAAGATGTGACGGATGTGCATCCATTGGGGCCAAAGGAGCTGCAGGAGCTGCGGCGCTTGCTACGCGACGCGATGGAGGAGCGGTATGTGCTGTACACCGCCCCTGGTGGTCGTTGTGCCTACCAAGAGACTCTTATAGGGAATTTTCTTCGGCGTGCCATTCACGAGGGAAATTTGGGGGTTGTGGAACAGTTAGAAACCTGCTTGCTTAGCATCGAGGGTTATTGTGAAAGTTCTAACGGCGTTCAAGAGATAAATCGTAACGAATCTCTCCTGCTGAGACAAGATGAAGTTGGTCTGCCGCCATCCTGGACCGATGTGCCGGAGAGGTCGAGCAACGCGCGGACGTACATGTTTCATCATTTTGAAAAGGATGAGGACACACGCTGCCTGTGTGGTAAGGCGTCACGAGCAGAACTTAATTCAATGTATCCACCAAAACTTGTGCGCAAGCCCTCGCGACTTTCTCAAAATCCGGATACACTTTTGCTTATTCTTTTACAGAAATTGCTAAGCCCACTTATTAAGCAGGGTGTTATGGATATTGATGCTGGCCTCTTCGTGAGTGCCCCGTTTACAACTCTGGTCGTCAAGTCATTGGCGGCATCAGCACTTCGTGTGGCCCTTTTACCACCGAGGCTTGCGGTTCCCAGGTGGGCAGACTTTGTCATCACAGAGGCGAATTTCCTTTTGCCGTTAAATGTCCGTGAACGCGTTGCCCGCTTTTTTGCCTATGGTGCTC